GAAGCCGAGCACCGAACGAGAGGGGTACCAGTCTACTGGAACACTTTGCGGCACTAGACGTGGTCTTGGCCAATAGAGGCCAAAAGCTGACGTACAGCAAGGCAGGGCGTGGATCTATTATCGACATCACCTTCGTTAGCAGCGCACTAATAAGGAGGTGCAACTGGGAGGTCAGTGATGCTTTTACTTTCAGCGACCACCAGGCCATACACTTTACCCTTGGAGGGGTAAGTAGGAAACGGATTCCCAAGGTGACAGGACCGAAATGGAAGGACTCGCGTTTGGATCGAGAAGCACTCTCGGTAACCCTGCAGACGCTAGACCGGACTTCATCATCCTCCCCGGAGGGAGCAGCGGAAGAACTTTCAGGATCACTATCAGATGCTTGCGACAGTGCCATGCCTAGGAGGAAACCCAGCAGAAGAGGAGCATCAGTATACTGGTGGAACCAGGACATTCAGCAACTAAGGACCGCCTGCCTGCGGGCAAGAAGACGCTTCCAAAGGGCAAGAGGCTCAGAGGACCTAACCACAAAAACGGAGGAGTTCAAGGCAGCTAAGAGGGCCTTGAAACTGGCTATAAAAGCCAGCAAACGGGAATGCTTTCAAAAAATCTGCGACGAGGCGGAGGTGGACCCATGGGGCACAGCCTACAAGGTCATCATGAAAAGGCTTAAAGGGCAAGAGCACCTAAGACCAACTTGCCCTACACTATTAAGGAAAATAGTGGAGGCTCTATTCCCGAAGCACCCGCCAAAAAGGGAGACTGTACCAGCCGATGATGGGGAGCCGTTTACGCCAGTTACGGAGGAGGAGATCCGGAACTACGCAAAAAGGATTAAGGCTAGAAAGACTCCAGGACCAGACGGAGTGCCGAATTCCGTCCTGAGGCAGGCCATGCAGGAGAAACCGGAGGTCTTCGCTGAGACCTTCAACAAGTGTCTTCAGCACGGCACTTTTCCAAAAAAGTGGAAGAGGCAGAACCTCATTCTGCTGCCGAAAGGGAACAAGGCGACAGACGACCCATCAGGATTCAGGCCCATATGTCTCCTAGACACGGTAGGGAAAGTCCTCGAGATGGCCATAGCTACTCGCGTCTCGAAATTCGCTGAGGCAAAAGGAACGCTCTCGGTCAGCCAGTACGGTTTCCGGAAGGCGCGCTCCACGGTGGACGCCATCAAAGCCGTGACCGACACGGCGGAAGCAGCCATCGCGGGAACCCGGTGGAAATGGGGAGATAAGGAGTATTGCGCGATGGTAACACTGGACATCCGCAACGCCTTCAACTCGGCTAATTGGACACGTATCCAACGAGCCTTGTTCTTGGCAGGAACTCCTAGATACCTACAACTAATATTATCCAGCTACCTTTCAGATAGGACACTGCTGTACGACACGGACGAAGGACCAAAATCCTATGAGGTGACTGCGGGGGTGCCGCAGGGATCGGTCCTCGGGCCACTTCTTTGGAACATCATGTACGACGAAGTACTCAGGATCGAACTACCAACAGGATGCAAACTCATCGGCTTCGCGGACGACCTGGCGCTGCTCGTGGTGGCGAAGGAAATCAAGGACGTGGAAACCAAGGCGAGTGAAGCAATACGGAGGATATCAACCTGGATGACTGACTCTGGATTGGACCTAGCAGCGCATAAAACGGAGGCAGTTCTCTTCACGAGCAGGAAGAAGGTGGAGTATATTACCATCCAGGTGGGCAACTGCTGCATCACCTCAAAGGAGGCAATTAAATACCTAGGGGTAATGCTGGACAACAGGTTGTCCTACGGAGCGCACGTGGAGTACTCCACCATAAAAGCTGCAAGGATCCAAGGCGCACTCTCAAGGATGCTGCCAAACGTGGGAGGCCCAAAGGAAAGCAGGAGACGCCTTTTAGCCAGTGTCGTCACGTCGGTCTTGCTGTACGCTGCGCCGATATGGGCTGCGTCAGTCAGAAGACATCAGGGGCTTAAGAAAAAGCTAGGGGCATCGTACCGACTAGCGGCCCTACGAGTCATATCCGGATTTAGAACCATATCCGAGGAAGCCGCCCTCGTTCTAGCCGGAATGATTCCCATCGATATTCTGGCTAATGAAGCGGAGGAAATTTACGCAGCCAATCGGCAACGGGGAAGGAACTCATCCCGAGAGGCCATTAAGACGTCAGCCCGACAAGCGGCATTATCCTCGTGGCAGGAGAGGTGGGACGCAACGACCAAAGGTAGATGGACGCACAGGCTAATACCAAACATCCAGGAGTGGATCGGAAGGAATAACGGTCAGGTTAGTTACCAGCTTACCCAGTTTCTTACAGGTCACGGGGGGTACAGAAAATACCTCTATAGATTCGGACACGACGAGAGTCCAACGTGCCCCAACTGCCCAGGAGCAGACGAGGACCCAGAGCACATATTATACAATTGTAGGAGATATCGTGCCACCGTCGGATCGCTACCAGATCCAGAGCAGCTCGTGGAATTCATGTGTAGCTCACAGGAGCAATGGAACTGGGTAAGCCAGTTGATAGCTTATACACAGGGCGACTTAAGAAGACTCGAAAATGAACGTCGCTTAAGGGAGAATGCCTAGATTAGGCAACCCTTCCCCGCGAAGTAATACTTAGCAGTGGTACCGCGGGGTCTGTGGTGTGTGCGGGGGTGTCTTTAGTACGTAGGCGCCGGCTAGACATGCCGGTGAATCGTGCATGCTATTGGTACGGGCCAATAGTATCTAGGATAGATTTTCACCTCAATGGCGCAATCCAAAAAAAAAAAAAAAAAAAAACATGCTCATATCAACTCAGGAGGTGATCCTGATCAAGAATATATATACTTTATAGGGTCGGAGATGTCTCCTTCACTGCGTTGCACACTTTTGGACAAAATTATAATACCCTCTGCAAGGGTATAAAAATGTATGTGGACTGCATTATATTACATATATGTATATTTGGACTTCCGCGTAAAAATAAAATAGTACTCTTGATGCCTGATTACCTATAGTTATAATATATTTTATATTATAAGTTTATATTAAGTATATTATAAGTTTTAGTAAACTTTATAATATTTTAGAAAAAAAATACTTTTCAACGATAACCGGGCTTTTTAGTAGAGAAAATTTATTTTCAAATGCGGCAATATTTAATATTCAATATTTCGGCAATATTTCGTTCAAATGCTTGAGACGCCTCACTATGAGGCCACTGACCACTTTTTTTGGCCATAAATCATTTTTTAAAAGATTTAAAAAAAAAGGATCTAATGACGTCATTACCTTTAGATAACATCAAGCTCTAATAATCCATAACAGAAAAGTTAACAGAGAACGTCACTGTTACGTTATTAGTTGTCAAAGTGCACTGTTAGTGCCGATAAAAAACACGTGGTAGGTTTGCAAAATATTTGCGTCTTTTAAAAAAAATTTTTAATGGACTAAAAGGATTTAAAACTTGAATTTTTGATATGCAGTCGAACCAAAGGGGTTTGTACTAAGTGTTTGTGGGTGTCCATTGTAGGAATTGATCGTGTTGTTTTTGTAATGTGTGTATTTGTGTACCCCCTGAAAAGGTAAAAGCTAAATTGAAGAACATTTTTCAAATGGAGTAAACAAAAAAATGTCACATAATTTCACCTTAATATTTGTACTGTGTTGTAGTGTCTTTCGTCCTCTTTCAAATGAATGTAGTCTTAAACTGCCCTTTTTTAAACTGTTTTTGTTATTTTGATTTTTAGGGGAGAGCCTAAGCAACGATAAATTGTTCGATAAATGGAAATCAGCTGCTACGAAAAGCTGCAAGAAGTCTGCTATTTGGGATGGCTTTAGGAAAAGTTTAGATAAGCCTATATCTGAAGACCAAGATACAAAATTATTAGTCCAAAGCGAACAATGTTGCTACCGTTTATCGCGAAAGTGGAATAGTTGCAAAATAAATTTAGCAGTGTTTAGAAGAAGATGTGCTGTTTGGCTATCTTCGCAGACTGTTGTGCATATGGAAACAAAGAACCGAAGATCCGTGGGTCGACCTTCATTATCATACCCGGTTAAGAGTTACAGAACGATAAGAAGGGCAGCATCATGTCTTGCTACTCGCATGGTAGGAAATGTAGATCTTCTAATACAATCAGCGAGTGCAGCAGCGCGAAAAGGGGGCAAAGTTGATCTCGCCTTTGTTTTGCAGCTAATAGCTAAAAGTCCAAAAGAGGCAAAAGATATCCGAAATCAATTAAGACCGAAAATTTCCAAGCCTGAGAAAATATCAACCGATGAAGGTGTAGCTCTTCTTTTGGATCAGAGCCTAACAAAAAAGCAGTATTGTTCCATAAGGGAGCTGGCTAAACATAATATTTGAATTATTCTACATGAATTTTAAAATCAACTATTTACAGCTCGTCAAGCCTCTGATTAATGCAAATGGATATTTTAAATAGCACTACTGCCTTTTTAATATTCAATAAATAAATATAGACAAATAAACATATATTTTATGATTTTTTTACGTAATTTTATGATGAAATATTTTAATAGGTATATCTTAAAAAAAAAAAGGCGGCACCACGCCCATTTTCATAAAACATATAAATTTTTTTATTTTAAACTTAAATTTGCAAACCAAACCGAAATATCTCGTTTCGTTTTCGAGATATTAATTTCGGCCACAAAAAGTAGTCGTTGGCCCCATAGTGCGCCTGCACAAAACCAATTGAAACTTGAGACAAGGTAACACAAAAACGGTATGCAAAATTGATCTCGCCTATTCGCATAGCGAATACTGCAAAGATATTAACTGATAAAAAACGGTTTAGTGTATTTACCGTTTTAGCTCAACAAAAAATGATTGAAAGTGAGAAGCCATATATGTATGGCTTTGTATGCGGTAAGGGTTAAAATAAAAATGAATGTTTCTGTAGGAACGTACATAGGTTGAAAATATTCGTTCACACTGGACAGACTGGCATGTTTTTTTTTATTTGAGTACTAGGCTATAAGAGTGATACATTGGGAGATATACATATAGTATATTTTAAGAAAATTAGATCCGCATCCGCAATATTACATCCACCTCGTAAAAAATTTCATATAAATATTTGTTTTTAAAATATATTGATACTTAGATATATTTTTTACGTCCGTAATTTTGCTATAATCGTCCGGTCACACTCTTTTTTCTGCTGTTTCTTAAATTTGTTTTTGCGTTATTTTCATATTTCCATCAATAAAAGAACATTTTTTGAAAATACTTCAATTTTTTAAACACTGCGGAAACATGGCTGACAGGCTTACGCAGTTGCAAGATACAGTTAATCAGGTAATGAAATGAATGGAGGTATTGGAAATAAAATAATAAAAGGATAGAAGTGTTTTATGTATGTACATATGTATGTACATATATACTACAAGGATGGGCACGTAGTGGATTTTTCGGCTACAAGAGCTCCCAAAAAAGAATTTGTTAAAACAGTTTTCAATACAAGAATTCCCAACATTTACACTGGAAAAACAAGTAGGAATAGAAATAATCATTTTATGCATAGCACCCTTACATTTATTTCAGTGTAAAATAAAAAAAAACTTAAGTATTTTTATTCCTGGTACTCCTAGAGTATTGTAGTCATGTATGTAACATAAGGAAGGGATCATCTACAACCTTCATCATCTAAAATATATACATATATTCTTGGTGAGTATGAACAGCCTAGTCCATATAGCCATATCCGTCTGTCCGTATGAACGCGTGGATCTCAGAAACTATAAAAGACAGAGCTATAAACATAATTGGCATGGAGACTCCTATAACGTCCACGTAGGTAAAGTTTGTTTCAAAGTTTTGCCAAGACTCCTCCCGCCCCCACAAATTACGAATTTTTGTAGAGCCAGTACAGGAAGGTTTTAGATTTCTTTGTGTTGCGTAAACAAGTGCAGTTTTTATACCCTGCAAAGGGTGTTATAATTTTGTTTAAAATTGTGCAACACAGTGAAGGAGACATCTCCGACCCTATAAAGTATATATATTCTTGATCAGGATCACCTCCTGAGTTGATATGAGCATGTCCGCCTGTCTGTTTCTACGCAAACTAGTCTCTCAGTTTTAAAACTATCGACTTGAAACCCTTCTTTCCTTTGCTCGCAGTATATATGTAAGTCGGAACGAAAATAAAAATGAGAAAATTCCGTCTTAAATCTCTTTATGTAGGAGGATCATTACTTTAATAAAAAATAGGTTTCCGACATAAGTTTTGTTTGGTATGTGTCAGAGAGTTGTCATTAGACAACTGTCAAATACAGTTTATTCGTAGATAGAATGTTATGTTCTGCTAAAATGTTTCAAGAAACCAATTTTTATGCAATTTGGTTTTTGAGGAAACTAGCGATCAAAATGAAGAGCTGATGGTAAAGCAAGTTTTTTAATTGGGGCAAGAGTCCTTGACCTTGTCAAACTAGTGGCAACACCTTAATATTAGGTATGTTATGAAATATTTTTGATATAATATACGCTATATGTGCCCTAGTTTTAGCGTACTTTGCTTTAAAAGCGTATAAAAGGTGGATCAGCACAAACAAAGGGTCTAATGCACTGTTCACAAAAAAAGGGTCTAATGCACTGTTCTAGCGGTGAAAATCGTATATAAGGTGGGCTAAAGAACCTGCTTTAATGGAGACCTAATAATATTTTTCTGTCTCTGGAGGCTGCTCCGTGCTGGCATACACAAAAGTCCCTCATGATTAGCTGTAATCCATCTAGAAGAAATTATCCACCAAGGTGAAGCTACCGGATAGCCATAAATCTGAATCGATAGATGAAAATACTGTTTATGCTCCGGGTAGCTAGGATGCGAGCAAGGAAATATTTAAGGAGCCGTCCATAAACCTTGTGACGCTCATTTTCGGGTATTTTGACCCCCTCCCCCCCCCAATGTGCCAATGTGCCCCAATGGGTTTTTTGGGATAACTCATGATGCACCCTAACATCGAGCTTTTTTGTTAAATTCTTCGACTTTAAATGCCTATGGACGGTTTCCGTGCTTAGTTGCCGCTCCTCTGCGATGGTTCTAATAGTCACATGACGATCTCGATCCACTATTTCCATGATTTTATCCCTATCAAAGGTCACTGGTCGTCCGGAAGTCTTGGGTGTTTCGGTATCAAAATTGCCACTTCGGTATCAAAATTGCCACCACTGTTCGGCGGTTTGAATCGAAAGTTTCTTATCTCCTGAGACAGCAATAACCTGTCTGCGATATTCCGCAGGAGTTTTTCCCTTTGCGAAATAAATTTTCAAATATATATAAATTTTTTATTTTATAAGAATAAATTTTCAATCGATTGTAATTTTTTAATTGTAATTTGACTTTACAAGCGAAGCGCGAAATTTGAATGTAAAAACCGGTATGTCATTACCAAACAACCTAATACAATAACTGTCAAATAACTGATTAATCGAAAATGCCATAGCTTTGGTGTTTTAAGCTTTAGAGATTTGGGATTTTCTATAGATTCTATTTTTTGAAAAATGATACGACAAACCAAATTACATAAGGATGGGCCGACTACATCCTATAGCACCTATTGATTGGAATTGTATTTGATATTTGGTAAAAATAGGAATTTTGGTATGTTTGAAGATATAAAGTGCTTGGTACTTGCCTTTTATTTTATATTGTTAAATTGGTTTTCGTTCAAAATCTCATAACGATCGGCCAAGAATAACCGATATTTGCGATTAATATCCTATCATAACTTCAAGGGTAGGTAATTTTCGGGTTAGGAGACCCCAAAGTTAGCTTTTTTCAAGCTTTTTTTCGCGGTCTTTCAGAATTTGGAAATGGCTTGTGCATCAATAAGAGCATCAGCTAGCATTCCTGTATTCATCATAAAGCTTAGAGGCCCAGACGACCGAGGGGCGCTCAAGAAACGATTTGTTAGTACATATTAAACTATTTGAAATTTGTTAAGATAAGAAGAGTTAGTAAGGAAATTTACAATTCTATATTTTAATTTAGAGGGACAGGAAAGAGATGTAATAGAGTAGAGACCAATGACTAAGGAACAGAGGACTAAAGTTTCGAGTCCTACTAATAGGAATGTTAAAATTTAAGCGTGTTAGTAAATGCTGGCTATCTACATCCCCGTTAATAAGGTTATGCAGAAAAACTACACTGAGCATTGTCCTACGATTTGTTAAGCTAGGTAAGTTTATAAGTAAAAGTCTGCTACTGTAGGATGGAAGCTGAAGTTTGCATACCAGTATAGATCTCTGAGTGTGAATATTAAAAAATTCTTTTGTACGGATTCTATGCGGTCCTTATGTACTCCATATTGGGGACTCCAGACACATGAACCGTACTCCAGTATCGGACCAAAGAAATAAATAATGTTTTGGTTATGTATGGGTCATTATTAACCATTAAGGAAATATGGTCCATTATTAACCATTAAGGAAATATGGTCGGCAAATTTAAGTTTAATGTCAAATAGGACGCCGAGATCATTAACCTGAGTTAATTTCTCTAAGGCAATCCCATCAATAGAATACGTAGCTTGCAGAGGGCAATAACGATAAAAAGACATATGCTTGCATTTTGATCCATTAAGTATTAGATCATTAGCTAAACACCATTTGTGAAAGTTATCAAGGTCAGACTGAAGACTGCATTGGGCAGAGATGGGTTTGTACTAAAGACAAAGCTTTACATCAGGGGTGCCCAGCCCCATTGCTCTCGGAGCTCCTTTGTTGTTGGAATTGCTCGTTATATGGGAAATGAAATTTTATATACGTGTGTGGCTCGTAGCATAGGCAAGGGCTAAATACAAAAACAATTTTTCGTTTTTCGAGTTAAGCAACAACAATTGTATAGTGTCTCAGTTTTTCGTACTAATACGAAGGCACTTTGTTTTTTTATTACCGAAAACTTTTCACTGCAAAAATTACTTTTGGTTGAGATCTCAAAAAGAATGGTTAACATCTGAGCTATGAATTTCTTTTATTTATAACTTTATTACAGTTTTTAATTTTTATTTCATAAATATTTTTGTATTACTTTTTTCCATTGAAAATTGTACTATAATTTTTTTCAGTATACCGACATGACTTGCAAAAAAAATTTCTAGCTTTAATGTATTGGTGATTTTTTGCATTGGTATTCGAGTTTGCTCTGTCCTATGCTGAGCTTGGGCACCCCTGCTTTACATCATCTGCATACATAAGAACTAGAGAATTCGTTAAGGATGTAGTCTCATGTTCCGGCCTACTTTTTAGAGGTTATTTCAAAAAAATTTTTTGTAATAAAGAATAATGCGATCGTTTCAATTTTCACATATGTTTTTATAGGCATCATAAACTATTTGAAAATATTTTGTTTAATTTATTCTTGTGTAGTTTAATACACTATATAGCATGCCAAAGTATGCATATAAAAAAATAGATAGGTCACTGGCGCAGGTGATTTCGACTGCTAGAGTCATCCGAAACCAAAAAATTAGAATAGATTATTGTTTTGTAAGCTTATTGCTCTGTCCCGTTTGACAACAAAATGGCGAACACACAAAAAAAAAAAATTTTTTTTTTAAATTTATCTTAAGGGGTTATATACAGTTGTGATATATGAAAAAATCGATTTTTTTTTTATTGCATATTCTTTAAGTATATTTTATTGGGAATACTCTACCTATTTTATACCCGAATTCATAACGATCGGAGCATTAGAACCGAAGCTGTAGCTATTTATAGCGCACTATCTGCATATTAATCCTGAACAAACTTGAAACTTTAAACGCGATTATCTCAGAATCTTTTTTTTGGGAAATTACCTTTGCGGTGGACACGATTACAAAAAAACTACTAATCCGATCAACACCAAATTTTGACCACTTATTTATTATGATATTAGCTAGTCCGTGAACGAGGGATTTTCAATTTTTTTGAAAACTCCTTTTTTAAAGCACAAAAAACGAAAATCTTATACGTTGAAAAAGTACATTTTTTGTTAAAAACGTCGCCATTTTTTTTTTAATCAAAATTTTTAAAAATCCCTAGTTCACGGACTAGACAATACAATATACTAACTAAACTTTTTTGAATTTTGGATTTCGGATGAACCGTTTTCGAGAAATCATGTCCACCGCAAGACACCATCGAAAAAGACGATCCGGGAATTCGGCTATAACATTTTTGTTATGTAATATTTTTTTATGAAAAAATTTAATTAAGTACCCAGAAACATGAACTAAACAATTTCGGTAAAACATTTTTCATAAATATTTTCTATGGTGTCAAAAAAAATCGATAAAAATCCATATTTTTGCGCGGTA